CTCTCAGACTGAAGAAGACTCTTGGAGGAGAGACGAAACGTTTTGTTAGAGAAGAACCCGTCCAGAAGACCTGTACAATTTTTTTCTTTTTTCCATCCAGAGGACCTACTTATTTTTTTGTTTGATTTTTTCTACCTGGATTACTGAGATGCATCAGGACAATAGACCCCATATTTAAGAAGGGGGCTCCATCTAAAAAGAGGGTGTGTGGACATACAAAAATGCTTAGAGCTCAAAAACTCTTCAACGTAGGAGCTTCAGACTTTATTTGTTGTTTAGCTCTGATGGAGGGCTGCCCATCGGGCCCACCAATGAGCGACCCCACCCTCTCCAGAACCCGAACCAAAACAATAAATCTGTTCTGATGACTTGATGCTTCCGCTCTGCCGTATCTAGTTTACTGTATTCAAAGATTCTCTACAAATATGCAAATAAACACAAATAATAAACAGTGTGATGAATGTGTGACTTTTTTGATGCCACAAAAGTTCTCCAGTATATTTTTGTCTTATATGATATAAGACAAACAATGGTTTTGTATGCTCTCATTATATCGCCAGATCTTTGCTACAGTTGCATCACACTTTATAAGAGAAAACACTGTGTCCTACAAAACAGATTGCTGCAGTTKAAAAGGAAGCCAAAAACTGTCTGAAGGATACTTACAAACTGCAGAGACCAGGAGGAAGAGGACGGCGACAGAAAGCAGSCCACCATCATCCTTACAGTAGGTGAGCAGGCGTCCCAGTGTAGCCCCTGAGCTGACCTCCTCTTTTTCCTTCCTCCCATCCTCCTCACCAGCTGTCTCCACCAGCTTCTCAGTGTCCTCACAGCCCCTTCCTCCTCCACTCCTGCTGTCAGGACTGTTCGCCGGGTTGGACTCCCTCCCAAGCTGCCTCCAGAGCAGCACAACRCAGAGAGAGGAGGCGCAGGTCCAACATATGAGGCCGAGGAGCCAGTACTGATGACTCAGAACATCCTGCTCGGTCAGCATCAGCAGCTTGGCCAGGGCAAAGGTCATCACCACCATGCAGGTGAAAAGAACTAGAGTGCTGGACCTGGCAACTCTCCTGGGACCGTCCTTCTTGTTCCACGACACCCCTAGGGAGGCTCCCAGGAGGAGGGATGCTCGRAGCAGCAGGGTGCCCCACAGGTCCAAGGCRGACACAAACATGTTAAAGTCCAGAGACTCTTTTGTAAATATACTCAGCTGTGAGCCATGTATGTACAGGACAGTAGTGATGATACTGTCAAGCACAATGTACAACACGGTGCAGCTCACTGTTCCTCCGGTAGCCATGCCAGAACAGGGTTTAAAGATCAGAAATGTCCAAGATAACTAAAACAGACCTTTCAAAATATAACTCTCAGATATCAACCTAAACTAAGCTTGAGAAAACCTGATCAAAGATTAACTGTAGTTATATATAGTCACTACCACTCAGGGTAAAAATGTATCCATTACATTAAAAAAACAAGAATGAAATTAATTCAGATTTAATAGCAAAAAACATTTATTTTGTAAAATGTTTTACTTCCGGTCTCCTGCAGCGTCCAGGTTACATATAAACTTGAACAATAAGGACAAAGTAACTCGATGATCGTCCATAAATGATTGTCAGGTAGGATTACAACAGCAGAGATAACTTCAGTTTAAGATCTCCGCCTCATCGGTAGCTTTGATYATGTTGTGCTAGCAGGCAAAAAACTGTGTCCGGTAACACAATACTTCCTGTTAGTTTGAGTCCTTACCGTCCAGCAGAGTGTCCGAGACAATATTATCTATGTTAAGTATCTACACTCTTTCTCTATTTACAAATAAAATAATCAAGACAGTGAAGCACCCTTGCTGAGCCAAGGTTTCATAAAGTAACGCGAGCCTGAGACCTGTCAGACTGGCACCGGTAGCAAAGATCGTCTATAGTAAAGAGGACTCACAACGAACATTATTAAAGTCCAGGGGATGAAAGCCACCCCCCATCCCACAACTTTTACTGACTTAATTTTATTACGGTATGATGAGCATATTTTTGTTTAAGGATTAAAGCACTTGTTAAATTATAGTYGTGTATTTTAAATTATAGAAAAGATGCAAGTCTTTATGAACATAAGTCGTTCAAGCTCATTTTTCTAACTCTAACCCTCATTCATAAACATCCACACCCTCATTTAACCACATAACACCAGACACTGCCTCGTGTGCGCGCGTGTGCACATGTAAGTATAAAGTTTGCCGATAAAATATAAGTAAGATGGAGAAAAGGTTTCATTGCTCAAAGCTTTTCAACACATATCTTTGGCGWCATCTTGTGGCCAAAAGTAAAAAAAAGCTTGATACTTCAACCTGAAATGATTTTTAAAGCTTTTTTTAAACAGGTAATTCTCATTATTAAAACCACGGAGCTTTTTCTGAAGGGAGGCCTGAGCACATGTGGGAGGAAACCGAAGTACCTGGAGAAAACCCACACAAACACAAGGAGAACACTCCACAGAGAAAGGCTCCAGGTTTGTGCTCTTTTACAGATAGCGATGTTTTTTTTTTCTTTCTTTTTTCCATATGTGTATAACTTTAGGCCCTGGTGCACTCCAACTCTTCATAGCTGAGACTGTATCTGCCCCTGGAAAACCTACAAACAATGCTATAAAATGTGTAAAGAAACATCAACTTTTAGAATGTATTTTTGTTCTCACATTTTACACTGTTCAATAATTATTACATTTGTTTAGCATGATCATTTTATTAACGAACATGTTTAAAACACTGTGTATTCCCACTGGAAAAAACAACAACTTTTTAACAAACTGTTGAGAAG